AACCAGCATAAAAAGGAGCGACATTGTGTCGACAAAGAACATAGAAGATGTGCTTGTAAATAGAAAAAAAGATAGTGATGGAGCACCTGTGAAGTGGTTAGAAATGAGATGGATGAGGTACGAGAGAGAAGATCCTTGGGTTTTGAAGTACAAACCTACGCTGAATGAAGAGTTTCCGTTTTTTTCTGTCTCGATGGCCAAAACAAATGTCTCAAAATTCATTGGTAATCAAAGTCATCTGTACTCCACACCTAGACTCGTAACAGAAGCAAAGAAAAATGACATGCTGTCTCTCCTCCCGTATCTGCCACCAGTCACACACTATCATTTTAAAAATCTCTGCATCAACACAGGAAGCCGTTCACGAATCCAGCAACAGGGTGAAGGAGACGACATAGACGATCATGAACTGGTCTATGATGATTACAACTAATGCCACTTAAGCTGTGAGAGTATTATTGAACATTGTTATAATAAGTTTTTTATTTGTCATTATTTTTTGTAACTAAAATTCCAGTTTTGTCGTACTTCGCTTTTTAATCCATTTTTTTCCACCAAATATTTCAGAGTAATAATGGATCAAGTCCAATTTTTTTCAAGAATCTCCAATTATTTCCAAAAAGGTTATTTATTTACTATTACACATAGTTTAATTATTTAAACTACATATTACATAAGAGGTTTTCACTTAGATTAGGTTCGTTGGTGTATTATGTAATACTGAAGAGCTTGTTAACTTTAACTCTAAATATCTCTGACTTATGTATTATGGACTTGATCCACTATGGTTCTGAACGCCTCATATGTTGTGGAATGTCATTTTAGATTCCCCATGTCTCTAATCACATGTTTATCAACGTCTGTTTTGCCTTGCAATTCTTAGAAGGTACAGATTAAAGCACAAATCTGAATTTGGTTTCGACAATTAGTTTCCGGATAGAAGTCAGAGGTTGTAAACCAGAAACGAGAAATGAACAACTCACAGGAGGAATTTATTTAATTATCATAACGTTCCAAGAATGGCACTGTCTAATAAGTCAAAGAGCAAGTCTTAAAAGATATGTCGAATGGGCCCAGAAACAATTTTATCTTAGCAAGAGGAATCTATTTTGGTTACGTGTATTTGGAAAATGAGCTATATCGATTTCCCTATTGTTGATTCCAGAATTAAAAAGAAAAAAGCCATTTAAAGATGATCCACCAACATTAGGATGGCTACAACGTTTTAAAATCCGTCATCCAGAAATTTCAATTCGAACAGCACAGAACCTAACAATTACCAGAGCATCTGTATCTAAACAAGGAATCAAAAACTGGTTTGAAGAAGTTTCATTGTTCTTGAAAGAAAGTGGTAATTTTGACATCTTACTAGATCCAAGCCGAGTCTATAATGGAGACGAATCAGCTTTTTTCCTGAACCTCAAAGGTAATAAAGTACTAGCCAGCAGAGTGCAAAAAAATGTATATCAACAAGTGAATTTGGATGAAAAAAAATGCCTAACTGTATTGGTTACAGCAAGTGCAGGAGGAAAAATAGCACCTCCAATGGTGGTCTTTAAGTATGACAGGGTACCGCGTGATATTGCAAATAGTGTTCCTGAAAGGCGAGGAATCGGTAAATCCGACTGAGGATGGATGTATGGTCCAAATTTTTAAGAATATATCACTAATCTATTTCACCCATGGTTAATTCAAGAGGGTTATACACATGGAGGGGACCAGGAGATATGATTAGAAATCAGATAGACTATATTCTGGTAAACAAGAGATTTAAGAATGGCGTCACCAGAGTAACGACATATCCTGGTGTAGATATCGGTTCAGACCATAACCCTGTAATAACTGACATCAAAGTGAAGCTCAAAAAAGTCCAAGAAAGCCCCAAAACACCAAAATTAAATATCTCAATAACCAACAAAACGTTAACAGAAAATGACCTAAACAGTGAGCTAAAGAAATCAATAAATGAAAACAACACAGAAATATGGAACACATTTAAAGATCTTACCTTGAAAGTAATAGAAAAATATTCAACAACGTTACACAGGCAGAAAAAACAACAATGGATGACTGATGAAATCCTGGAATTAATGGAGCAGAGACGGAAACTGAAAGGTTACAAGACAGAATATAAGGAAAAACAGAAACTAATTAAACAAAAAATAAAGGTGGCTAAAGAAAAATGGATGAAGGATAAATGCAAGGAATTAGAAAAGTTGAATGAAAAACATGATACGTTTAATATGTTAAAAAAAGTTAGTGAAGTAGCTGGTCTTTATCATAAGAAAACTCCACATACTATAACCGATTGGTCGGGAAAAATGATAATAGACGAACATGAAATTCGAACAACGTAGTGCAATTATATAAGTGGACTGTATAATGATGATTGACCCGAAGAACTGGAGACTTTAGTTGAAGGTGAAGTACCAGAAATACTAAAATCAGAAATACTGCATGCTATAAAGTTAGCAAAGAACAAGAAAGCCGTTGGCCCTGATAACATACCGACAGAGATGTGAAAGCTTATAAATGAGGAGAACATTGGAATACTGGCCAAACTTTTCAATGATGTTTATTCGACTGGTGATATCCCTGAAGATTGGTTAAAATCCGAATTCATAACACTACCAAAAAAACAACGTCCTAAAAACTGTAGCGATTATAGGATGATAAGCCTTATGAGCCACACTTTGAAACTATTTCTACGCATCATCCACAGTAGAATCAGGGATAAATGTAAGAAGACCAGGATGAAACACAATTTGGCTTCAGAAATGGACTGGGAACTCGGGACGCCCTCTTTGCACTAAATGTATTACTGCAGAAATGTCGAGATCAAAGAAAAGACGCCTTTACTGTATTTATTGACTATGAAAAGGCATTTGATCGAGTACAGCATCACAAATTAATTAAAATATTAAAAGATAAAGGAGTTGATAGTCAAGACATACGATTCATAGAAAAGTTATACTGGCGTCAAACAGCGACAGCTTGCATAAACGGAAAATCTACAGAAATATGTAAAATACAAAGAGGTGTCAGACAGGGTTGTATACTATCCCCACTGTTATTTAATTTATATTCAGATAGAATATTTAAAGAAGCGCTGCATAATTTGGAATAGGGCGTGAAAGTTAATGGAATTCTGATAATACAATCAGATATGCAGACGACACAGTTATTTTAAGTGATGACACGAATGGATTACAATGCCTTTTAAATGCCATTGATACAGTGGGAAGAGAGTTTGGCCTAAACATAAACTGTGCAAAAACAAAACACGTGGTGTTTAGCCGTTTAGCACATCAAGATGCACGATTATATGTTGATGGTCATATAATTCAAAGAGTGTCCAGTTTTAAATATCTTGGTTGCCATATTACTGAACAACTAGATCCAGATCAAGAGATAAAATGTAGAATCGAAATAGCCCGCACGACATTTTTAAAAATGAGGTCATTCTTCTGTAATGATAACTTGCAACTTCAACTTCAAAAGCGCATGGTTAAATGCTACATTTAGTCAGTCCTCTTATACGGTGTCGAAGCATGGACATTAAAAATATCCACCATTAATCGTCTGGAGACCTTTGAAATGTGGCTGCACAGATGTATAATAAAAATTCCATGGACGGCTATGCTGACAAGTGTGGCAGTCCTTGAGAGAGCAAATGCTGCTCGCGAGCTGCTTGATAACATCAAATGTAGAAAGATGGCCTATTTTGGACACGTAGTAAGGGGAGACCGATATAATATTCTTCAACTAAGCTATGATGTGTAAAATCGAAGGACGCAGAGGAATTGGTAGAAAGCAGGCCTCTTGGTTGAATAATATCAGGGAGTGCACAGGAATAAGTAAAGCTGAGCAACTCTTTCGAATAGCTCGAGACAGAGACAGTTTCGCCATGTTAATCGCCAAAGTCAAGGGGACTTGATAGGGCACGTTAAGAAGAAGGATCGTTCTCTCAGAAACAACGCTCGAAGCGACCGGCGATTTTAAATATCAATTACGCGTGTGAAATCAATTTTAAATAAAATGTGTTACAATTTTTATTTAAAACTGATTTCGCACTCGTAACTTTCATTCAAAATCGCCGGTCACTTGAAGCGTTGTTTCTAAGAGAACGGTTCATTCTACAAAAAAGTGCTAATAAACATTTGTTCAAAATGATCTCAGCTACATGTTTTATTTGAAACATTTACTGCTTAAATATTTTTATACAACTTAAAGGATTAGAAATAAAGTTAAAATATTATATATACATTCATTTTTCTGCACCCTTGTCTTTAAGACACACACAAACACATTTAAGGCAAAAAGAGCTTCTCGTGTTTCCAGTCCGTCGAGAAATCTGAGACACAATACGTTTATTAATTAATATTTCAATATCAGAATCAAATTAAAATGTCGCTGCTTAAAACTCTGGCAATATAAATATTCAAATAATCTTACCATATACCTACTGGTTAGGTGTAATTTTATTAATCAAACTGAAGTGTTCACTTATAGATACGAGAATTAAGTTCAACTTATCTAACTTTCTTTAAATAGAATAATTAAGGTACACTTCTTGGACGTCAGTTTAGGATTAGTTCTTTATCTGTCTTAAATTCTAATTTCGCGATAAACAAATTTAATACAGGTAATGGTAGATACCGGTAGAAATAAATAATGTTACCTTTAGAAATTACTATTTAAAAAGTATTTGCAGAATTAAAAAATCAAACAAATTATTTTTTTATATAATCAAGAATGGACTAAAGACAATGTCTTCATTTAAAAAAACCTTACCGGGGTATCCGCAAGGATGATATTGCTTTCCAAAAAGGATTAATGCTTTAATTATGTTAAATATCTATACGGCTATATTTGGTTCCGTGTTTTGCTGGTTCTTCATTCTAGGAGAATGAGTTCCCATTTTTTCTTAAATGTTATATCTCTTTAACTATTATATTAAACAGTTTCAGAACCTCTTTAAATGGTAACATTGATTTCAGGATTTGTTCGAGAGAGTTAACAAACCGATAGAACAAGCATTGAAAACGGCTCACCTAACAATGGACGTCGTCAACCAAGTGGTTCTAGTAGGAGCCGGTACCAGAGTACCCAAAGTACAAGAACATCTCAGAAACGCCGTTGGGCAAGAGTTGGCCAAAAACTTAAACACAGATGAAGCCGCTGCCATGGGGGCTGTTTATAAAGCCGCTGATCTTAGTACTGGTTTCAAAGTTGCTAAATTTATTACCAAAGATGCTGTTGTGTATCCAATTCAGGTAAGGTTTTGATTATCGTCTACTGATATATTTTCCTAATTATTATAGATTTAGTATATTTTTCATCGAAATCCATACATATTTTTTATGGTTTACTATGATTTTCTTATCAGCGTTATGAAACTCTCGAACTGCTCTGAGTTACAATACTAGAAAATAATTTCCAACCAATGACAAGCTGCGATGACACGACACACCCATCGATCAGTGTGCCTTCGAGCTTATCGTGGGAATGAACGTAGTACAGTAACTTCTTCTTTGTGTACTGTGCTTGTTTTCAAGCGTTGTTATCGTATTATCATGCTAATGAAACGTTTCTTGGTTGGCAGCTAGATGAAACAATTCCTCATCCATTCGACCTGTCCACTGTCTAATATTACGCAGTCAGGACAGTTGTTTTCTTCTAACCTAGTGTTTTCTTTCGATTTTGTTCTGAATAATCAACCATAGTAAGCGATATTTAGGTTCTCTCATTATATGACCGAAGTATTGAACTTTTCTTTGTTTGATGATGTTGATCAATTCTCGCTCTTTGTGCATGGTCTCTAGCACACGTTAGATATGTATGCTGTCCACGGAATTCTGAGCATGCGACGGCAACATCGCAATTCGAACGCTTCTAATTTCCTAAGATTTTTTATTTTTTAGTAATTACTATTTAAATGGGAATAAGCCACAATTAAAGGTTAAAATACGTTTATTGACGTTTCAATTTCCACTTCGGAAATCGTTCTCAAAATACAAACATTAGTATTAAAAACGTCAATAACCGTATTTTAACCTTTAATTGTGTCTTATTCCCATTTAAATAGTAATTACTGTAAAATGCCACAAAAAAATAGCTTCAGAACAATATTTTTTTATTTTTTTTGTCCAAGTTTCACATTCAACAAAGCGGACCAGACGTAGCACTTCAATACACTTGTTGTCAGCGTTCAACAGGGTTTGGAGGTCTTCTAGAATCTCTACCATTATGACGATGCTATCTGTCTATTTGATGTTGTTAATAATTTTACCATAGATTTAAACATTTTCGCGACCATTATTTAACGTTGTCTCAAAACTGGTTCATTATAGGCATTAAACAACATCGGAGAAAAAACGCATCCTTGTCTGAGACCACGCTTAATAGAAACTTTAGCTGAAACCTCTTGGTCCCCCTTATTACAAGCGGTCTGATTGTAGTAAAGATTTTTGAGCAATCTAATGTCATACGTGTCCAGACCAACTGAGTCTAAGCATTGAAATAGTAATGTATGTGGTACTATATCAAACGCTTTTTTAAAATCTACTTAAAAATCTATTTAAAATCTAAAATCTAAAACATACGTAAATAATTACCCTAAACTCAATGCTCTTTTGTAAGAGTATTCGCATGCAAAAAACATCTTCCCGAATACTTATACTACTACTACTATTTGTCCGTTTATAACGTTCTCCGACTTCAAATCGCCACTTAGTCTATTTGTTCCATAGGTCTTCTTCTATGGCCCTCTCTCTCAGTTTTTTATTTATTCCTTCGCTCCATTTTTTTCGGTCTACCTCGTTTTCTCTTTCCTTCTGGTTGCCATTTTAATATTTCTTTTCATATTCGTTGTTCATCCATTCTTTGTATGTGTCCGAACCAGATAAGTCGTTTTGTTATTAGGTCATCTGTAATTGTTCATTTGATTCCCTTTATTTCTCTAATTCGTTGGTAATCCTTTCTCTTCTAGATCTTCCTGTGGCTCTTCTCCAAAAATCCATTTCCGTCGCTTCCAGTGTTGCCAGTGTTCTTTCTTTCAGTGGCCATACCTCACAGCTGTATAAAGTAATACTTTTTACTGTCGTCTCATATATCCTCTTTTTATTTATTTGCTGATGGATTGGTCCCATAAATTGCTGTTTAGCATCGTGATAGCTTGTCTCCCTGGCGTATTTATATCTTTTATGGCTTTGTCTAATGTTCCATCTTGTAAAATAGTGGTACCTAGATATTTGTAGTCACAGCAGTCCTTTATCGTGGTGTATTGTCTAATATGAGATTATTTTGTTCTACTCCAATGCCCAGGTATTCGGTTTTCTTTTTATTTACTTCTAGACCCCTTATATCATACTTTACAATTAATTTTCGTGCCATATAGTTTAAATCGTCATAATCTTGAGCCATTATTACCTATACCATTTCGGAAACCAAACTGCTCATCACCAGTTCTTCTTCTTCGGGTTCCTTCTCCTAGCGGAGGTTGGAAATCATCATCGCTATTTTAACTTTGTTGGCCGCATTTCTGAACAATTCTAATGAGCTGCAGCCGAACCACTCTATCAAATTTCTTAGCCAGGACATTTTGCGTCGTCCTGGGTTTCTCTTCCCTTGTATCTTCCCTTGCATAATCAACCTCAGTAATACGTACTTCTCACCCCTCCTTAAATGTCCCAGATATTGAATCTTTCTAATTTTAACAGTTTTTATGACTTCACATTCTTTCTTCATTCTTTGTAACATCTCTATATTAGTTACTTTTTCAATCCACGATATTTTATGCATTCTCCTGTAGCACAACATCTCAAAGGAGTTTAATTTTTTGATTTCAGACTGCTTTATTGTCCACGCTTCCATGCCATATAGTAAAGTAGAGAAGACGTAACAACGTAGCATTCTTGTGCGCATCTCTAGATTAAGGTTACGGTTGCAAAGTAATTTCTTCAATTTTATGAACGTGTTTCTTGCCATTTCTATTCTAGATCTGATCTCCTTTACTTGATCTCCATCTTCGGTTAGCCACGTTCCTAAATATTTATATGTTTTTACTCTTTCTATCGTTGTATTATTGATGATCAGGTTATTTACATTTTGTGGTTTTTTTGAGAATATCATTGATTTCGTTTTCTTGAGATTCATTTGCAGTCCGTAACTTTCACATGCATTGTATACATGTTGTATTATGTACTGTAGATCTTCCATGTCACTTGCAAATATGACAGTCTCGTCGGCATATCTAATATTATTAATGCTATTTCCGTTGACATAAATACCTTCCACGATATCCAATAAAGCCTCTTGAAAAATCACTTCACTGTAGACTTTGAATAAGAGTGGTGAAAGGATACACCCTTGTCGAACTCCTCTAAGTATACGTACTTCCTCTGTCAGTTCTCCTTCGACTCTTACTCTTGCTTTCTGGTTTTGATACAGATTCGATATAATTTGTAGATCTCTACTATCAATGTTTTTAGTATTAAGAATACTTAAAAGCTTCTCATGTTGAACTCTACCAAAAGCTTTCTTGAAATCTATAAAGCAAGCATATATGTCCTGATTCATATCCAGGCATCGTTGTGTCAGAACATGGACTCCAAATAATGCTTCTCTAGTTCCTAGACCCTTTCTGAAACCCATCTGTGAATCACTTATTTCTTGTTCTAATTTCATGTGGATTCTGTTATGTATGATTTTAAGGAAGGTTTTCAATGTGTGGCTCATTAACGCAATTGTTCGATAGTCATTGCAATCTTTAGCATTTGCAATGCTAAAGATTGCATCACCAGTTATCCTTTCACAAAGTTTATATATGCGACAATGCAATATTTTCATAAAAATTGTGAGCGTGTGGCACTGTCTGGCATTCCTTTTCTTGGGGTACTTAGTTATAAATATTAATTCTAACCATTTGTCTGGTTTGCCGCTGCTGTATGTCTTGTTAAAGAAGGGTGTGATAAGCGCAAAACTCTCATTATCTAATAGTTGTAATAATTCTGCAGGTATTTTGTCAGGACCAGACCACACGCCACACGCTTTTCTCCGCCACGCTTGGTCTATGGCCTTCTGAACTTCTAAGATTAGAATCGGTGGGCTTGTATCTCGGTTATATGTTATTTCGTGGTAGATTCTTTGGTCATCTTTAAATAAATCTATTGTAATATTTCCATTGGATACAGCGCTCTTTAATATCATTTAAAATTGTACCACCAGAGCCCTGTAATATATTTTGTCCGTAAATGCTTCTTTTACCTGCTAACTTTAGTTTTTATGCAGATGGAAGCTGTCTTGTCGTTGAATAGTCGTGGCATAGTAACTACTGAGTTCGAATTACGGAGTTATTTTTCTGTTTTGAATACTCCACTGGTTATAGTATCGATTCTATATCTGCATAAGGAAAATATATTGTAACAACATATAATCAGTTTGTGCAAGTTGATGCCCGTATCTTTAATAAATCTCGTACCTGTGTCGAACGTGCAATCGCTATCTTAACCGCTTTCTCTCCAATTTTAATAGTTTTCAAATGTTTCTAATATGATAGTTCTTGATTTTATGTATTTTCTGCTCAACACTCCTATCAACAAGTAAACTTTCTTTTCGATACCTACTATTTAGTACTATATATTATGTCTGGTTTTAGCAGTTTTCAAAAGTCATTGTTGCAAAGTTGCAATATCAGTTTTCAATCACATGTTCTTTCTTCCTTCATCTATTTTCTTCACATAATTCAGTTTATAATACGTAATTATAAAGTAACAACTATAGTATCTAATTTTTAGGTTACATTTGAAAGACTTGCAGAAACAGGTGTTAAACAAGTAAAGCGCACACTTTTTGGCCTCATGAACTCCTATCCTCAAAAGAAAATCATAACTTTCAACAAACACACCAGTGACTTCAATTTCAATGTGAACTATGCTGATCTAGATTTCTTACATCCTAAAGAACTGCAATATTTAGGAACCACCAATATATCCCAGTTTGAACTAAAAGGAGTTTCTGATGCTTTGAAGAAACATTCAGGGGAAAATGTGGAATCCAAAGGTATCAAAGCTCATTTTGCAATGGACGATTCTGGTATTTTGAACTTTGTGAATGTTGAATTAGTTGTTGAGAAGACTGTAGTTCCTGATGAAGAAGAAGGAACACTATCTAAATTAGGTAAGTCGTATTCAGCAAACAAATAATCACATCATTCACCTTTTCACTGCGGCTAGTTATAAAAGTAGTATGGTTTCTGGTACGGCTGTTTCATGCTTGTGCTGATCAACACGGTTGCCGCAGTCAGTCGATGAAGTACTATGGCGTGTATATACGGTTCTCGCAGTGTATTAATTCAGTGTATTCAGGACTGTATTTACAATTTTGTAGAAGTAACTATAAATTTGTTGCTGTTAGATTTTTGAAAAATAAAAAAAAATTAAATACACTGAAAAATTATCATTATTTTATTTATCATTAATAATTATAGAAATAAAGTAAAAAACTACAAACAAATGGTACACAAAACATTCAAATGCAAAATATAAATAAAAGTTTTGACTACATTAAAAGGAAAATTAAAATTTTTTTATACAATGGTATAAAAAAAATAACTTTATACCACTTTATTGACTTTTTGACAGATTTAGTGCTACTGAGAAACTTGTCGGTTTTATCTACAGTCCCCATATTACAATTATAATCCAGTACACATTCTAGTTTTTGGATAGAAACATTGTCCTTAGTTTTTTTACCACTATCTTTCATGTTGCTGGAGTAAAGTGTCGTAAGCATTGTAACGGACGTCTATCTAACCACTTCTATCTAACCATATATATATATATATATATATATATATATATATATATATATATATATATATATATATATATATATTATATATATATATATATATTATATATTATATATATATATATATATATATATATATATATATATATATATATATATATATATTTGTAGTCTTGTAGCCAACTACTTGAACTTTATGTAGGTTTTTTCGTCATGGGTGACATATGTTGTCCATTTGGTTTTACCGTTCCACACGCATTCGTTTTATATAGTTTATCAAATAAAAGCGGACTGCTGTACCAGTTGTCCACACACAACGTATGGCCTTTATTCAAGTAGGGCTCTATCACCGTATGTACAATATTCTCAGAAATTTTAGGTCTTTTTCGAAGATTTTAATGTCAGTATAAGACTCAGTATAAATGATAAAGTTCAAAATGTAGCCTGTCTCACAGTCACATTAGAATTTAATTCCAAATCTGTGACTTTTGGAGGTTATATATTGTTTAAATGCTAGCCTTCCCTTATAAAGAATCAAACTTTCGTCGATACAAATGTTTCTAAATGAATACAGAAATCTACGAAAAGCGGTCTTTAAATGGTCTATAACCATTCGTAGCTTAAAAAGGGAGTCTTTTTTGTGAACGATATTGTTATCTGAAAAATGTAACATACGCAACAGAGTTAGATATCTATCACGTGAAATAATTTGGGAAAAACGGGTGTAGACAGGAAACTGTCAGTCCACCAATAAGAATTTATTTTTTCTTTTCGTAGTTGAGGCATAAGGAACGACAAAGCTAGAAAACAATACACATCCACATGAATGTCTTTCCAATTTGCGTCACGAGAATTTTGTGCAATATCACTATGTTCCACAATGTATTTGTAAAAATTATTAATTTTAACAATTGCTTTCATAAAAGTCAAAGATAAAAAATATTTTAAAACTACTTAAAACACTTGGACCACTTTTTAAAATTCATTGAAACACCCTGATCTATTGTGATTGTAATTATGAACTGTTGGTTGCAGATCTCCCTTCTATCTATATATATATATATATATATATATATATATATATATATATATATATATATATATATATATATATATATATATATATATATATATAAACGGAATTTTTTCACATTTACGACGTTTAGCTTGTTCAAGAGAAGTAGATTCCGAAGTTAAAGCACTATTTTCACTAACCTGTATTGATGATGGTAGAGTTTATTCATTATTATTTTCCTTTCCAGATTCATTACTTTCTGCATCAGATTCTTGAAGATCACTTTCCATTAAAATTTCATATAGTTCACTTTCCCTAAGATATTTACGGTTACGAGCCATTTCACTAAGCAATTGATTTTATTAGTCAAGAATGTATAAGAAATCTAAATTTAAGAAGTACTCACTTATTTTTGTAAAAAAGTACACTACTAGTACAGAATGATGTACAAAACTATAATCATAATAGAAAGAGACCTTGTGCGCAAACGAGAGGTGGGATGCAGAATTCATTTGTGGCTTAAAATAAATAATCTCAACATTATCAAGTCTGCAGTTTCGGTCTTCTTTTAATATTCATAAAATATTAATATCGTAAAAGGTTTTTCAAATGGTCAAGTATTATAAATTCTTTATATTATAGAAATAATACAAAAAATATGTTTTGACAACAATACGTCTTTCATTTCGGTCAAACTTGAATAATATTAAAATATTTATATCCTCAATTTCAGGTAGTAAATAAAAATCTTGTAACAATACCCTACAATATGACAAGCTGTCTGGAACCGTCTTTACCATTAGATAATTAATGCAATAGGTAATAAAATTATTTCAATTGGAATATTTCTTACCTGATAACCAAAATACGGCGAAAGGGAATCCCAAGATTTTACGAGTACCTAAATCCCTGTAGTGCGTGCCTGTGTAAAAAGGTGCGGATTTATACGGCTCCTTAATATATAACATGCTTAACTCTTTTCTATAGGCAACATACAATACGTAATCAGTAACTGATTCATACGGTTTCCGCAGTGAATGTCTAAAAAAGTTACGCGTATTTAGCCGGTTCACGTTTTACGGGCACGAAACTATTTTACGTGTATATCCGGTACCCGCAGTGAAAAGGTTAAACAGGTACTTCGATGGAGTATTCAGCCACTAGTGACTTTTCTTTTCATATTAACACCATTTTTGCCTTCAAACATCTTCAAAATTAAACGCAACGCCTATTTTTCGCTAATGTGTAAAAATTTTTCCATCTCGTCAAAAACTACATTAAAATCAATTTTTAAAAAAGTTGTAATGGGTTACAAATTCATAATTGAAGCATCTCACATGTTTCTAAAAATAAAATTATTCTTCTGTTACTACAGTTTAAACCTAAAATTACGTCAAGAAACTATCAAATGCTATATTTGGTCAATGTTATTACATGGTACCGAGACCTGTTCAATTCAAACGTCATAACCTTGTACAGGAGTTATCCTTTAAGGACGTATAAGTTGTCTCATCCTCATTTTAAGTGAGAATTAGTATCCCACTTTTCTTATTAAATATCTCTTTACCACTTGTGAGTTACTTGACCAGACTTATACCAATTTAGAAGAACTTCGTAGATTCATACACTTAATAAATTAAGTTCAACTTGAGGAATTATCCAAATATGAGTCCCCTCATAGATACTGTTTCTTACCATATTTCCCGCAGTTAACTGATAAACTTACTAAACTGTTTAACACGTTGCCTGACGTCTCGCCCTATTTGACTGAGAAAAAAATTACCCTCACGCCAGCGAGGTCTATTTGACCGAGAATTTTAACGTGACTGTGGTGCCTTCTCGGTCAATGTGACCGAGACGTTACATTGGACGGCAATTGTAATATTTTCGTAATTTTTTTTTTGTAAGAAGAAGAATTTTGAAAATTTTTAAACATGAATCATTACAGGCTATATAAAGGTGCCTCTGCGCACCGTGGCGTGAACGGTAATTTTTTTGACCATATAGCAGAAATGGCGTTGGCGTGAACGGAAAGTATTACAAATTCCTCTAAAACAGGCAACGTGTTAAGGATTCCCCAAACCGACGCGAAACTTTCGCAGCGGAAACGCGGCGAATCGTAAGGCACGGCGACTTAATGCATGTGTTCAGACAAGTTCGGACGGAAACCGGAACGGTCGCGGCAGAACAGCGTTGACGTTTCATGAAACGCTGCATGCACGGTTTTTTCCGCTGCAGTTATAGCAAGTTATAGTTTCGCGTGAATTATTAAAATGGCTGTTACAGAATAACTAATTGAAATTGTGAAACAATATCCTATAATTTATGATTTAAGTGACGAAGATTATAAAAATATAAGAAAAAAGGATAAAGTCTGGGATAATATAGGGTCATTTCTAGGAGAAAATGGTAAGTTTTCATTATATATTATATATAATGAATTTAATAGTGCTCCGCCTGCGAATGTTCCGCAACGGTTTCGCGTCGCAAAAGTTTCGCGTCGCAAAAGTTTCGCGTCGGTGTGGGGAATCCTTTAAACATAATCCACTAAAATAGGTAACAGAAATTGTACAACGGTTGTATTCGAGTGATAGATTTGGTAATTGATTTGATTCGATATAATTCGATAATCCGTTCGATTCGATAATCGATTCAAATATATTCGATATTTGATTCGATTCGATTTGTTTCCATAATCGATTTTATTTAATTTAATTTCATTTTATTTCAGTAAGTTTAATTGATTTTATTAAGGAATACGCAAACTCATGCGTTTACTACTCACATGTATTCCATCCATAGCCCGTGATAAGAAAGCTATGATGTTTCCAATAATAATCTCCTTTCCCGTCATTAGAACACCCATAATGGCATCCATATGAGAACAATTCGACGTTTTGGGTCTTTTTAATAACCTCTTATTAAATTGTTTGTGTATTAATTGTGTATTTCGTGATGTTTCCTATGATATTGACAATCCAGCCACTTTTCCAAGGCTGTTTTTTTCAATAAATACCCTTTGTACAAAAACAAGTAGAAAATCCATTTGGTTTCTCGTGTCTGATGCTTGTAGATTAGTAATCGCTATTATTTAATTAATTAATTTTGACTAATTAGTGATAGATTATAGATTCTAGTAATTTAATTCATTTTATTTACGTTAGACCTAAACCCTGTTTCTGTTGTAAAGTTTCAATAAATTAATACTTTGTCATGAATGGAAAAAATCATGGATGTCTAAATAATCCATCTAAGTTCTTCTCTATCGATGTGCCTCACAGGGCATTTCATATTTAAAATTAACGGGTCGTGAAAATGGAAGTGAGGGTGTTGACAAACCCTCTCTGTTTGTAATATATGTCTGTATCATGAACATTGTCAAATATCAGGATGGACTGTTTTCATGGCCCTATTGGTATAGTTTATTTTGGTAGTTTGTGATTGATCGTAATTAATGTAATGCCATTGCTGCTCAAATTTCTTATTATACAGATATACACACAACACAAAATTCTAAGGATATTTGATAATTTGACAATACCAATGACAGAAATTTCATGACCATATAAATTTGCTTTTACTATAATTGTTGATACAGAACACTCAGTTCTTATCAAAAAAATTTTTAAAACTGATAGCAATACATGTTTTAGAATGTTTTTTATAAGGGACAAAAAATCAACATTTTTATGTTTTATTTATTTTTAATTTTAGTCACTCAAAATAAGTGGAACTTATCGGAATCTAAATTAAAAGAAATTAAATCGACAGTGAAACCGTGGCGCCTAGTAAACTTAAAAAGAGCTGACCAAGTCAAAATTTCTCGACTTCGATTAGGTCATACCAATATTACTCATAAGCACCTAATAAGTAAAGAAGACATTCCAGTGTGTGATTACTGTCAAGTCAATATTACTGTTAAACATCTTCTAACAGAATGTGGAAAATATACAGTTAACAGACAAAATAACAATATTTCCAGTGACTTAAAAACAGTATTAGGTGAACATTTAAATACTAAAAACTTAATTAGATTTCTAAAAGAAACATCTTTATATAATTTAATATAATGTAACTAATGTAAACTAATGTCGCTAATGACCCAGGTGGTTGAAGCGACTATTATTAGTAAATAAAAAAAAAAAAAAAATTTTAGTCACTTTATACCATTCTTGGTTAACAGGTATGTTAAAGATATTTTTTTTACCATGCAACGACAACATTTAACGTTGGATGAGATGAATAGAGCCGTGGGCCTCCTTCAAGCTGGTATACGACAAACTCAAGTTGCTGACCAGCTGGGTGTCTCCCAAAGCGTCGTAAGTCGTTTGTGGCGTCGGTTTAGAGACACTGGGAGTCCAGCCGAACAACATCCAGGACGTGGTCGCTCTACAGCTGTCGGCGTCGCTCAAGACCGATATTTAATTTTAAATGCCAGAAGGCAGCCAACAATCACAGCACCCGAGCTGGTTAATGAATTACAGTTTGCACATAACGTAACAATTAGCAGCAGTACTGTGAGAAATCGTCTTCATGAAGCCAATCTTCGTAGTCGGCGACCACTGAGATGTCCACCTATATCTAGAGGCAATCGCGCTGCAAGATTAACCTGGTGTCAAGAGTTTCAGAATTGGACTGACAATGACTGGGCCACAGTTTTGTTTAGTGACGAGTCTAGATATGGATTTCATCCCGATTGTCGTCGGACAAGAGTTTGGAGACGACCCGGAAATGGAGAACGATTACGACATCTTCAAGAAGTGTATGCATATAGAGGTGGTACATTAATGGTATGGGGCGGAATTATGATTGACGGAAGAACTGACCTCATTTTCCCACGTGGCTTTCACACAAGTCAGCAATATTTGAACACTGTTCTTGAACTAGTTGTGCGCCCCTTTGCTGCTGCTGTTGGAGAAAATTTTTACTTTATGCATGATAACGCTCGACCACATGTTGCGCATATTGTAACAAACTGGTTGGATAACGAGGGTATTGATGTATTGCCGTGGCTAGCACAATCACTGGACTTGAATCCCATTGAGCATGTATGGGACATGCTCCAACGAAGAATTACTCCACATATGGGCAATATCTACAATGAGTTTCGATTAAAAGAGCTTCTGAGAGAACAATGGACACAACTACCTCAAGCAGACATTAACAATGTGATTCGGAGCATGAACAATAGATGTAGAGCTGTGATAAACCAACGTGGTGGCCATACTTTATTTTAAGTTTATATTTCGTATTTTTGACATTTTATGGTGGTATGTGAAACATGCGTGATATGCAATATATTTTTTTGCTCCAATTTTCTGTTTTTTTGCAATCTATAGTTTTTGACATATTAAACAACAATTTAAACTACAAATTTTGTATTACTTTTTTAAGTGTATTACAGATAAAGAAAATACGTCTATTTATAAAAATATCCCTAGACTTTTGCGTTGTGTGTATAATGCTCCCTAAATCGTGGTTAAAGTTAAAGATTATTTTCGTGCAAAGTGATATATCAACCTACACATTTTTAAGACTTACAAATCACATTTAAATATATTTTCAGGTAGTACGTTTAGCAAATTATTCGGCGGAGAGGAGAAACCAGCAGAAGACAAACCAACGGAAGCTCCTCCTTCTGAAGATAAACAAGCTGAAGAGACCGAAGAAAAACCAGTCGAAGAAAAAGAAGAACCAAAAGAAAAATCATCTAAGGACACTAAGAAAACTGTGAACGAAACTGCTAAAAACGCTACAGAAAAAGTCAAAGAAGCAAAGCTAAAAGTACAGACAGTAAAAGAATCGATAACGACTGTTGAACAGTCGTTTGGTGTTCCAAGCTTGAATAAAAAACAACTCAGTAGATCACAGGAAAAGATTGACGCTTTAGATAAAATCGAGAAGGAGATCAACAGAAAAGCCACTGCCATGAATAACTTAGAAAGTTTTGTTATAGATATGCAAAATAAATTATATGAAGACGAATATACCGAGGCAACCACTCCTGAAGAACAAGAAAAAATAAAAACGGCTTGCGCACAGATCTCAGAATGGTTATACGATGAAGGTTCAGACGCAGACGCAGAAACATACGAAAAGAAAATCGATAGCTTAATGGCAATTACCAAAGACGTACTTGCTCGAGTATTCGAACACAAAGAGAGACCAGAAGCAGTTAATGCTTTAAATACTCGTTTGAATCAATCGTCAAACTTCTTAGTCAGCGCTAAAAATGCTACAAAAGACAACCCAGACAGGGACATTTTCACAGACGTGGAAGTGCAAACCTTGGAAAAGATGATTAAAGAAACTGAAGAATGGAGAGACAAAATGGTAAAAGAACAAGATGCCACTAAAAAGAGTGATCCAGTTAAGTTGACTATCAAGTCTATTATGGATAAAATGGCCGCACTAGATAGAGAAGTTAAATATATGTTAAACAAAGCGAAGATGTGGAAACCCAAAAAGGTTAGTAATTAATTATAGTTATTAGTATTTTGCCTCTTAAACTATCATAACTTATTATTAGACTTCGGCAAATATGCAAATAAAAATGTAGAAAATATGCGCATAAATATGCACGTGTTTACCCGAAAATATGCAAATATTTTACAAAATATGCATACAAATAAAAAAATCGTAAAATAGCAACAATTTTATTTAAAAAAAAAGTGTACATAACTAAATATTTCCTACTATTCATTAAGATTTACATTTATTTTAAGTAACTACATCATTTTTAAGTATGAATAAACTTATTTAGAATTATGGTAACAATAAATGACCACGTGGTGTTCAAAATTTTCTAACAAAAACTTGTGGCTTCTGTCTGAGTACATATATTTATATATGGAAAAACTTCGTTCAACATCAACTGATGTAACGGGAGCATTTTTCAAACTAACCAAAACATTTGGTTCTAAATTAATTGTTTCCGAAATATTTCCAGTTAGAACACTGACTACTTCAGAAAGAATATGGTAACCTTTATTTTTTTCCATAGTAGCTTCAAATTTTTTTAAAATATCTTTTCCAATATTACCTCTAACGTTTCGACAACATGACGCAAATTCTTTTATTAATGCTGTACTTTCGAACAATGACAGTTTTGGTGATTCTAACTGAGTAATTGTTTTTTGAACAAAACTAAAATTTGATTTTATAAATGAAAGTTCTTGTTGAAGCAAGTTACTCTGAAAAGTTTGTTTAGAATCCAAAAGAGATTGGGAACTTTCATCTGTTAACGTATCAATTATGTTCTTTATTTTAACAAAATGATCTGCATAAAAATTAGCTGCTTCTAACCATGTTCCCCATCGCGTTAAAATAGGTTGTGGTGGAAGATCAATGTTAGGTAGCATTTCTTTATAAAGTTGAATTCTTATAGGAGAATTAAGAAGTACTTTTTTGACACTGGATATCATGGTATTTACAAGAGAAAACTTTTTTCGTATTTCCTCTGCAACTCTGTTTAATCCATGCGCTACACAAGTAACATGTATTAAATCTGGGAAAAATATTTTTAAATTTTGTCCTGCTTTCACCATATAAGGAGCAGCATCCGATAAAATAAGCAGTAATTTATTAGAAGGAATAGTTGTCGGAAGAAAAAAAGTTGCTAATGTTTCTTGTATAAAACGCGAAATTGTTAAAGCATTTGTTTTCTCAAGTTGCTGGCATGAAATAAGATGAGATTTTGGTAAGGTATCTTCTTTAAGAACACCAATCAATAAATGAGCAATATATAATTAACACCGACGAGTATATCCCGTTCACATTATTTCTTCTTAGAGACCGATCACTTGGAACATTAAGTTTGCAATATTTGTTTAGAAACGAACTAAAATTTACATTTGCTAATTTTGAAAGCGGTATGTTTGCAGACACTAATGCGCGACACAAGTCTTCATTAAAAGTTTCTTGCTCATCTAATTTTTTTGAAGTAGATTGGAAACATTTAGCCATTGAAGTTTGATATTTTCCTCCTATTTTTCCTTTTTTTGCAATGTGTGAAGCAGTTCTCACATGTTGGTCTATCTGAAATTTCTTCTCACATGCTATCTATAAATAAAAATAAAAACCTTTATTTTAACCTAACCTTTAAAATATAAAAATATACAAGGTGTTTTTGGTTAATCAAATAACTGGTTTGGAAAAAAAAAACACTCGCTAAGTGTTTTAAATGCAGTATTAATCCACAAATTAGTTTTTGTTACTAACCATTAGTACATCATATAACTTATTTTAAAATTCAACAAAAGTGTTTTTTTTTTTGTTAATTCAATTACAATAAAAATAATTGTGTTTTAGAATAGCTGACTTCATAAAAAAAAGTAAAGGTGAAAAATTTTTCTAAATACACACCATTGTATTGTACCATGGACAATTTTTTCTCACTAAAGGAAGCTATTTTTCATTTAAAAACAACCTACGAGTACTAAATTTCAAGTAAATACATTTATTGGTTTTAAAGTTATTGTTGTTATTAACTAAAAGAATTTAATTTTTTTTAATTTTAACACCCTGTATCTCGAAAAGTAAATAAGTTTGACCCCTCATTAACTATATCGTTTTGTTCAATTTTTTGAGAAGTATCTACAGTCAAACGTTGTAAGTGTCATTTGGAAACACCCTGTATGTATGAAATATTAGATATTTAATAGAAAATATTAGATACTTACAATTTTGCCACAGACTGAACATCCCATATCCATAGACAGCTCTTTATAAGGTTTAATCCAAGTTGAAGCACTGGTTGTTTTAGGCATTATAAAATCACAATCTTCCTTTTTGTTACGCACAACGAGTGTTTACGCTTTGAATATCAAAACAAAAATGATTTACAAATCTGAGCATCAAATTAGAAATGTTTAGGTACCTAATTCAATAAACTGGGAGATTTTGGAAAATCCCTAAATTAGGAACAAAACTATTAGCCGTTTACCTGCTGTTAAGATACAATAAATTGTAGATAGATTTGGGGATTAGATCATAAAATGCAAATGAGCGAACCCTTAGCGATTATCCAATAACTGAATGCCTCAGTGACCGAGACTTTCTAAGAATGTTGAGGGCTACTTAAATTGATCTTCTTTGAAATTGTAAATGTTTTGTACCTGTAGAGATTACGTACTTAGATCATTTCTTGATTAAAATGACTACAAAATTTTATACAAGAATTGAAATAAATTGGTATGTTTAAAAATTTTCAAATACAGTATAAAAATCTGAACTTTTATGCACTTTATGCAAACTTTTATACAAATATGCCAAAATATGAAATATTTGCATAAAATATGCACAATATGCAAAATATGCAATATGCATATTTGCCGAAGTCTACTTATTATATATCCAGTTGTTTGTACATTTTCTTCCTTAGACTGTTTTTAATTTAGACCTAGACTTAGACGCATTTTTAATGATCATGTGATTGTAACACAACAAACATGGACAGTGTTTGAAGTTCACAAAATGAACAAAGTCGTGTTGATTCAAATCAAAAATACTATGTTGTTACATAAAAGCCATATTTATTATTGACCGAAACTAGCTTGACATTCTCTTTTGTTTTTTTTAAGATACGAGAAATATCGTTGATTTGAGGAAGAAGTTGGTAGTAATGAGAAAATTAATGAGAATAATTTATTAATTTCGGTAACAGTTTGTTGTAATGAATTGAAGTATATAAAATTATACATATCCTATAACTTATCCCACCTTCCGAAAATATTTGGATCAGCATATAGAACTTTTAATTTATTTTCTCATTTTATTTTATTAAAGAATGATGGATAATTTTTAATTAACTTGTCTAATAGATATCTTTTTTAAATTTTGAATCGTCAACGAGATCAAAAATTTGCGAATCGAAAATTTCAAAATATACTCGTTTTTCGAGATCTGTGTCTGTGTCAAATCCATCGAGCAAAAAGACAAAAGAGGGAATGTAAAGGTAGTGGGGACAAAAATATTGTTAGACAAGAAGTGCAATCTTTAGAGGCCACATTAAACAAGGAAAGAGAGTCTCTCTCCTTGTTTGACATCAAATTTAGTTGAGTTATGTTATTGTTTGTCCCAAATGTCACATGAAATCTTATTTATATTGAAGTTTTTTAACAATTGTGTCGGATTTTAGACTATTACCGTTAATAATTAATTAAAAATTTCTCGTCTAAGACACATTCTGAAAAATATTATAGAGCTACTCTTAATAAGTCTCAAAAAATTTAAATTTGGCGCATTCGCATTTCCGGATATGTCCGCCATCAGAGGCCACTTTTTTGGTCTCCTTTTCATAAGGATTAAATTCCCTCTTTTGTCTTTTTGCTCGATGGTCAAATCTTTGTTTTTTTTTGGTTGGGGTTCTTGTCCCCTAAAGGATAATTCCTGACAACTTTCGTTTTCCAAATAAATCTAATTTACGCTGGCTCTATATATGATCTTTCGAAATATTATGTTTCTGCAAAGCTCTAAATAATTCCTTTATATTATCATAATCAGACTCACACCATGGATTTTGATGTTGCCCCTATCTGTCGAAAGTAAAATGCAAGGCCAATAGAAAAGTTTATTTTTTATTTACCCGCCGCAGTAATATTTATAAGCCGGTACTTTTAGGCAAAGGACGCCCCTTATTTTTAATATCAGTTTTTTTTCGTATGGAATAGATGAAACCCCATTTTGCAAAATATAAATTACAATATAAGATTTATCAGTACTTACAGTTTCTCCAATAGTTCCAATAATTTCATATCATATCAATTTCCAATCCATTTTTAGGTTAATTAACCTGAATTTGTTCAATTAAATTTAAAAAAAGAAAAAAATTCAAATATATCTAAAAACCCTTTTACTATTTACAGCAGCGGTAACTTATCACGGTATTTGTTTGAAAAATAAAAATAAATCAATACAAAACGAATCGATCGCTATGATACCGAAAAGCCCGTCCGTTTAAAAAATTTAAATTGAAGAATGTTAATCAAACAGAGCTGATAGAAAAGTTGGGCGCCAACTATTTTTAGAAGAAATCTAGTTAAACAAAACATTAAAGTTAATAAATCAATAAAATCAAAAGATATTGTTACAGAGTAATTATTTTAATAAATACAACAAATATGGTTTATAAAGTTATATCTTTTTTTAGTCACGATTTTGGGAAGTATTTTTGCTATAGTGTATTTTTATGTATGAGAGAGTAATAAAACAATAAATTATATATGCAAATCCCTTAACTGTTGATACGGGTGACTCAATGAAAAACAGATATTTGTCAACAAGTTTACAGAAATATATAGGAAAACAATTTTAAATTGAGTATGACCACCAGGTATAAAGGTTGGAGCAGAATAGAATACAATAGTTGTGAGGGTTACTAATCCCTAAATAAGGTTGCCAGTGTCGGAGTGATGGAGGTTAACAGGTACTAATGAATTTGCAAGAAATGTAAGCTGTTTATTTTATTGGTTATATATAACCAATAAAAGTTTAATAAGTACCTACCTATTTGCAAAATAAAGTTTAATTCTTTAGATAAAATAAAACGTTTTATTTTATCTGAAATGAGTGCATTCCACGAAGTAAGGGTTTCAACAATCAAACCTTTAATTCTTTAATTCCAGGAATCTACGACAGTAACTGACTAGATAATTACCTTCTAAACTTATTCCACAGAAAATGTGATAGTGGGTTTTTCCATTTTGTAGGAAGGTACAAGTGGCGTATTCAAAATTCTTAACAGTTCACTAAAAGTAGGTACTTCAGTTGCAAGGTGCAGTTTATTATGTATACTAGTGTTATGGAAAATTTGGAAGTGCCGTGTAAACGCCGAAAAATTGGTCCTTTAACAGTTAATGAAAAAACATTAATATTTAATTGTTTTAAATCATTTACAGACAAACGTTTATGTGAAAGTGTTGATGAGACCGTTGAGTTAATTAGCAGTACACTTGGTGTTGGGAAATCTACGATTTACAGAGTTATTAAAGAAGAAAAATGTGGTAGTTTTCAAATGCCACGTAATGCTCCAGGGAAACCAAAATTTCAAATAGAATATCATTTTAAAGAAGGTCTTCGACGGAAAGTGCATGAATTCTTCTTTAGACAAGAATTTACAACATTGGATAAAGTTCTTGTCTCAGTTCGAGATGATAAGGATTACCCAGAAATGAGTCGAAGTACGTTATGGAAACTTTTAAAAGAAATAGGCTTCCGCTGGAAAAAGAATCCAAGAAAGTCTATTTTATTAGAAAGAAGCGATATTGTCATATGGAGAAGACATTTTCTAAGAACAATAAAGGAAATGAGAAACCAAAAAAGAAAAATATTTTATCTTGATGAAACATGGATCAACGAGGGTCATACACAAAATAAATTTTGGCAGGATGAAACTGTTACAAGTCAAAGGCACGCTTTTGTAAATAACTTATCTACTGACATGAACGCTGATGTCTTTCAAGAATGGTTCGAACAAATGATAGATCTTCTTCCTAAGAACTGTGTAATAGTAATGGATAATGCAAGTTATCACTCCAGACTTATAGAAGGACTGCCCACAACCAAGTGGTTAAAAAAAGACTTGCAGAATTGGCTGAGTTCAAAAAATATTACGTACCATCCCGGATCTATAAGAAAGGAACTTTATTCGTTGTGTGCCCTTCATAAAGAAAAATTTTAAAAATACCAAATTGATGAAATTGCCAAAAATCGTGGAATGACAGTACTTAGATCCCCACCATATCATTGTGAATTAAACCCGATTGAACTAGTATGGGCACAGAAAAAGAGTGAAGTTTCAAGAAAAAATACCACTTTTAAAATTCATGATGTTAAACAGTTGTTTTTGGAGGCCGTAAATAATGTAAAACCTGAAAACTGGAAAAGGCAGTAAATCACACTATTAAAGAAGAGGAAAAAATGTGGAAGCTGGACAATATTACTGATAAAATGATCGAGCCAGTTATTATAAATCTTGGTTCTGAAAGTTCATCTTCTGAATCTGATTTGGATTTGTAACAAGTAGCTGTAAGTTTTATATTAATATTTTTATTCATCTATTTAACATACCTTAGACGGTTTTAAAAACTCTTTTTCTCTTTTGTAATTTTTAAAAATAAAAAAAAATGTGAATTTTTTAAAACCCTTTTTAATGTAGGCCAGTCAGTTCTAATATAGTGTGTGATAACAGAGGTCACTTTTGTTTACATACACATAACACTTTATAACACTGAAATAATTCATTTATTTTTTACAATTATTAAAAGTAATTTTTCAATTAATCTTGAGCACGCCCATGGAGTGGTCGGAGGTACCAGTTAAAATTATGCTAATTACTCTCTCGTTCATAAAAATAAACTATAGTTTTCGGATTTCTTCTTGGAATCTCCAGTTGTTTTATTAATTTTGTCCATTATAGCCTCCCGAGTAGGACAAACCATGCAATTTTGGATTCGTACTATCTTTACATTTGCGTGTTGCGTAAAGCAAAAAGTTGTGTTCTATTTTCCGCTGCATATAGAGTATATTTTTATTTTGTCCGTGTACTGCTTAAGCCTGCTTACTTGCAGATAATTATATAATTTAAATTAATAAATAATTAAAATAATGTTTTTCTACAGGTGGAAAAACCTGTAAAAGAAGATACCAACACAACAGACTCCGGAAGCGAAAATGTCGTAGTAGAAGAACCACCTACAGAGGAACCAGCCTCGGAGCCTAAAGAAAGTCCCAAGGAAGAGCAGACGGAGACCAAAAAAGACAAACCCTCCGAGACAATAGAAGGAGAAGAAGACAGCCATTCAGAGCTGTAGTTAGTGAAAATTTTAGGATATGAACAATTTACTAGGTTAAAAATCAATTGACATCTTGGGATTGAGTCTAAATATTGATGTGGTAATAGCGTATGTTCTCGACAATTTAAGTAAAATTAATTGGAAGAAAGTCATTGGTTTTTTATACAAATTTTTCTTCCAATAAAGTTTATTCAAATTTACGCTAGCGTACTGTAATTTATTTATTGAAGTATTATTTGGATTTATTTTTTTAAATAAATGTTTTATTGTTTATTTATTGAATTGTTCAAGTATATGGTATATGGTCTCAACATTCAGTGCAATACATTGGTCGAAAATTTAGAACAACACTTGCTTGTTATTATGTATCTTACGATGAATGCAAAGGTACAAAGCAATATACTTGGTTATTTCTGCCGATATTCTTCTTTCTTGACATTCCTTATACCCTTCAAGATTCTCCAGTTTCTGCAGGTATATAAAAACATTCATATTTGCCTTTTGATGGCGATAAAAAGCAGTAGAATTACTGTGTGTGTGACTTGAAATGTTGTTCTATAGTCTTTAAGGATACGGAAATAAAATGATTGGCAGAGAAACTCTTTTTATATCATGAGAAACAAATCCATGGAAATATATGAGTCGAACATGAATATTCGTCTTCACATTATAGCCAACAATCAGCAAATCGAACAAATAAACTGATCTTAAGGGCATAGGCGCAAAATGTCGTCTGTCAAAATGTTCAATGCATTTTAAATGTATTCATTTTTTTTTCGAATCCTGAGAAAACTAATAAGTATTTTTGAAAAATTTAAACGCAGAATGAAAGATTTCATTATTACCGAGGGCCGAAAGTCTCTTAGAATAACCAAGAAGTTTCATTTGAATGAGATATTTGAAATTAAAAGTCACAATAAATTGTCTCTTTTCTTTACCTCCCTGTAACTTATTAAAATAAACATAGAAGTTTTCAGTGACTCTCGGCACTCAGTAATAACGTAGTCTTTAATTCTGCGTTCAAATTTTTCAAATATTCTTATTATTTTCTCAGCATTCGAAAAAACTTTTAAAATACATTGAACATTTTGACAAACGACTATGCCCTTAAAGCAGGAGATGAAATTAGTACCCCAAAGAAGCGACATCCAATATATAAATTAAAATTTACTATTTTTACTGGGAATAAGCCACAATATTACTTTAGAATAAGTTTATTTCTGGTGTTTCGATTTCCATTTCGAAAATCGTTCACAAAATAAAAATTTTGTTTTTGTTACTTGGTAATAAAGAAAAAATAATTTTATTTGATAGGACTCATTCATATTGACAAGTTAGACACATTATACATTTTAAAGTAGATGACTTTAAAATGGTATTGTTGATATTTTGAGTTGCGCTCCTGGGACGACTTTATTGGAAGATAGTTCATTCAAATATATGAAATCAAAAATAGTAGCATGTGACTTATCTTTAAAAAGATAACCAGATGCAATTCTCCTGTTAGTGATCCCTTAGTAAATCACGAGGAAAAAACCTCATGGTACAATTCCGTCATGGTAAGTATTTCGTCATACATTTAGTTCTCTCAATATTAACATCAAACTCTGATTTTATTTTCCTCTTTTGATGTAGGTTACCAGATCCTACAGCATTTTGCTGAAGAATTTGCCACAAAATTGATTTGATCTAACATAAGAGCCGAAGAGATTCTTTGATTTTTCTCTTTTTACCATCTGTCTGTTTCAGGACTATACTTGAAACTATCCACTGAACTCTACGTTCATTTTTCCATGCGTGTTTATATATTTGGGATATATCAAATTTCTTTATCGTTCGGAAATACTCTGGTAAGCATATGGTCTTCGACGGTATATGCATGTATGTACTATAAAAATAGTAACGATATGTCCTATTTCAGAACTAAAATGCAATTAATCCATGACCATAAAACACAAAGCTGCGGTTCCAGGCTATTTAATTGTTTATTCTGATTGAAGGTATTACCATATATTATATATAAAAAGCTGATTAAAGATACTTTTTTAAACACTATTTTATACTTTATATGTATATTTTGTTGTTTCACCTGTTATGTAGTTTTATAATTATTCTAGATTGTAAATGTTACGTAACTGTATACCAAAAGTTCTCAGAAGATAAATATTTCTACGCTTGATAGAAGTATGGCCAAGTATTCATAAATTATTTTAACATTTGTGATTGTAAGTATCGATACAGTAAATTTTTAAAAAATGTGTTTGTTGCTTTATTGCTAATTAGTCATTATTGCTAGTCCATTTTTGCTATAAAGTTAGGTGCATACAATAAGCATAAAGTAAAGAAATTAAATTTGAGGCGTAAACACCAAAGGAAAAATATATAAATCTAGTGCAGAAATAGAAGTGGAAGGATTATGTGTATATAATAATCAACAAAAATCTTCAAGTCATTGCATACTTCATTTCTTTTTTGATAAGTAAAAGTTATAATGCTAAAAATATAAATAAAAACGTTATTATGTAGTACTTAGACTGAAAACTGAAAAAATTGAACCGATGTATTGCTTTCTGCACATGCGATGACATCAGAAAGGAGGTCTGGGTATATGGGTTCAGTATGAAACAACGCTGGAATAACCCTTCGGCTTAAGTATATATATTAAGGCCGATCCTCGCGATTCTGGCCATAGCTAAATTCCAATTATATATTAAGGCCGATCCTCGCGATTCTGGGCATAGCTAAATTCCAATGTAAAAGTTTATATCAAATAACGCAAAAACTATGGCAGATATTGAGATGATTCTTTTTTTATATGAAAGGTCTTAAAAAGTTCTAGTGCACTTCTTCTTCGTCTAGCCATTCACGTCCACATCTGAACATAAGCCTCTTCAAGTCTTCCTTTCCATTGTTTTTTATTGTACGCTACTTGTAGCCAATTTTTCCCGGCAGTCCTTTTCAGATCATCAATCCCTATTGCGAATATCTTTCGCAATAGTGCACTATTTGGTGCACTAAATAAATAGTGCACTATTTGGTTGTAAATTAATAAATTGTTTAAACAATATTTTTTTTTTCAAATATTTTTGGTTAAAATAAACGTAAAAATTTTTTTTTGAAATAGGGCACTAGAGAATTTTACCCACTTTCCGAATCTGTTTTTATTTTTAATATAAAGTGTAACACAAAGTAGCTATTTTGTATAAAGTTTTAAAAAATTTCAAAGTTCTGCTAAATGTAATTTTCTATCCGTCAGCACAAACTGTCCTTGTCGGTAGCTTCTGGATTCTCGCCAGCAGGTAGGTAAGACCCTCGGAAGAGGATAAATAATGTTGAATAACATTATCAGGGCTTATTTCGACTTTTGACAAACCAGTGTGTTTATTGTATTTAAAATAGGAAATTTTATATAAATAAGCAGTAAGTAGGTACCTATAATTTGATTAAATTTTTATATGAATAGAAATATTTTCTGTTAACTTGTGACATTTTTCTTTTAAATATGTATACTGTTTTTATAATAATACTATTGTTTCAGTATTTGCTTATATAATAATAATTTACTACATAGAAACAGCGTAGAATTTTGGTCAATCAGCAAGTACATTTTTTTTATTTCAATCAGAATTATTATTTTCTTTTCTTCTTTACATCAGCTCAGGGTAATAACCAAATATTTTGCAGTATTTGAATATGAAATTTAATTATATATATTTATTGGTTAGCAACCTACCAATCGTAAAAACAAATATGTACTGCTTAAAGAAACAATGTACAGCCTCGGAACAGGATTGATACTATGAAGACGACTACGGCAAGAAGTAAGGACAAGCGAAAAATATCCAAAACCCAGATGAGAATTACTACTTGGAATATCAGATCACTCAACTCAAGGGACCAAGAAATAACCCAAATGCTGAAAGAGAAAAAAAATAGACATCTGTGTTCTACATGAAACAAAAAATAAAGGAAAAGGTCAATCAAAATTAGATGAATATATAGATACTAACTACAGTGGAGTAGCAAAAGAAAACAGGGCCAAAGAAATTGTAGCCTTATAAATACACCAAAGGTATTAAAATTACATTAAAGAGTGTGAATACATATCAGAAAGAATAGTAACAGCAAAGATAAGAATGCAGAAGGAAAACCTGAACATTATCGGGGTATACGGCCCAGAAAATAATAAGCCTCAAACAACAAGGGAAGCGTTTTACGACCAATTATAACAAGTAGTAGATCAACTCAGAGAAAAGATGATAATTCACAGCTAATTTGATTATAATAATTAAAGAACCTCATTGATGCCACGTTAAGGAATGGAATTTGTATTTTTTGTTAAAAAAATTGCAAAAACATTGTACCTTTACAGGATCCTCTACGAATTTTCAAAAATGTAGTTTAAATGGTGACTAGAAAGAACCTACAAATCCATTCTGTGATCCATATCGAACAAGCAATTTCAAACTAATAAAATTTTCTATATCTCCAGATCTACTCAATGGATTTTGATCATTCTTTTTTTAATTTGTATGTAATTTCTACGTACGTTACAAATATGTAATTTGTTTATATATTAATTAATTAATAAATAGTCTAGTTTGTTTAAACAATTCGTGCAAAAATAATTTTCTTCCAAAAATCTATTTTTTTAATACTAGTATAATCATAGAAAAAATCGCGTTTTTTGCATTGAATTGTTAATAATTAAAAAACAACTCCAAATTCAAGGCAGGAAACAAGTAGGTTTTCTTCCTATAGGTCTACAATAACTAAACAAGTTGTCAGAGACCTGGATTATTGAGTGTCACGAACAAGGTCTATTTTTTTATTTCCCTGGAGTATATATTTGATTAACATCTGCGTAATTTCTTTGTCGCTTCCTCGCTGGTTTTGCATATTGCTATGATAGCAGTATCATCGGTAATTGTTGCAATTGTATTATTTTCTAGGACAATAATATTACACGTATACAAAAGGTAAAGACACTTCTTTGTGGCAGTCCTGCTGTAATTTCTTTTAGTTCCGTGTATGTTTCTTCCTGTTTTATTCTGAAATATCTTTACAAGATTCAGGAGTCAATTATTTTTGAGTATCGTTTTAAGACTAAATGTAGTCTTAGTTTATAGTTATGGCATCTTTGCCATACTTTATCATATACCTGAGTCACGTCCTAAATTGTCCATCATATTATCCTTCATGATCCATATTTCACATCCATATAAATAGTAATACAGTATATTTCATCATCATCATCATGATCAATGGCACCTCAACTCTCCGTGAGTCTTTGACGCGGTTACTATTGCCTCCCATATTTGTCGGTCCTGTGCCAGTAAATCCCATTGTCGCACTCCCATTTTCTCTAGATCTTGGAGTATATTTACATATAACAAATTAAATCCTTAGTTGTAAATTTTTGAAATAAGTACTCAGTATACATCTAAGTTTCATAAATGCTCCTCATACATCTCATAAATCTAAACTTTTGCAATCCGTTCTTTGTTGACAATTAGTTGCATAGGGCCGACGTTTACTAACCACAAGTAAACTATCTTATTTCTTTTATTTGACAATAATAATTGTCTGTTAGATTAGTATTGTAATAAGTGAATTCGTCTCTTACTGAATAATAATAAACAACACATCAAACTTATTCTCAAACTATTTCTTGTGTCATGTTATATTTTATTAGATTTTGGTGTAATAAACCACAACCTATCAAATTTAATATTAAAAATCAAAATTGGAAATGATAGCGTGACTAAATTATTCCTTCCTTCAAGAAATTTTAAAAAGAACTGATTCTTATTACTATTCAGTGCAAGGACAGTTATTTTGTTATTTATATCGAATAGAGAATACTGTTAGTTTGCGGTATGGACCCCAAAAAATATTTTATTTGAAAAGATTGATAAAGGTATGGAACTATGGGAAAATATGCTACAAAAATTGCAAGATTTTTATTATAATTTTTATTTGGAACACCTTCCGAAGAAACATTAGACATAATGCTATATTTATATAGTTTCATTTTATCAATTTTAATGATCGTGATACTAATCAAATTTTTATGATATATAATTATAATTTTTTTTTTATAATTTTTATTTCCGTAAACTTTAATCTACGTTAAAATTCAGACCGCCAATTTTTCCGTAAAAAAGTAACAAATAAATTGTGTATGTACCTTTGTTACATTGTAAATTTATGAATAGATTATATTACTTTGATCTGTTATTCTATTTACTCAAAACACCACTAAAAAGAAATTTATGATTTTATTGTAAGCCCAAAACCTGTCACTTCAGGGGTTCTCCCGATTGTAGAATCGGCTCGAGTAAAAGATTAACGCATTTTTGACCTGGGCTTGAGAGAGATATCTGAACGAAGTTTAGAATATTACTGCATAAACAGATTTTGTTTTCGTAAAGAAAGAAATTTTTGAAATAGAGATAGCCCACTGAAATTTACCGTTAGGATTTTCGAGGATGAGCCTTAAGAAGTACAAAAGATATATACATTAAATCCTAACCCATCAATTTTTACAATATTAAAAATTGCGACTTGACACGTACTATAACAAAGTAATGTAATGTTTATTTACGGATTTGGTATCTTTACAGGAAGAACGTAAGTAAACTTTTTCCAAATGACATGTCTGAGGAAGCCTTTTAACTGGCTACCTACATAAGAGGGTTGGAAATCTTTGGATTCCAAACCTTACTTCAAAGGACTTGTGAATGGATGTATCTCCATAGGTTTGGTTCTTCAGTGACCGTTGAAGGATAAGGATTCTTAATATGAGCAAATGTAGCTCCAGAGAAATAAAAGCACGTTTGAGTTTATCGATTTATAATTAAATCTTTTAAGAGTAGAGAGGCCCAACACGGCCGTAACTTACTATCTATACAATATCAAATGTACTCTTTCTTTATAACACCTAAAAGAAAACACCGGTATGAGTAATTGCCCCATTTCGGCGCAGCGAAGTATTTCTGAATCTGAATTTTCATTTCGTCAATAGAAATCTTCGGATTTCTACTTATAGGAGGTCGGAAAAAAGTGTGTAACATGCTTTAGTTCTAATAATATAAAAATAAAATACAAAAAAATGATTTCGTAATTAGTATTATCTTCTTCTTTAAATGCCGTTTCCCAATCTCCCAATATAATTAATCTTTAATTTCCAAATTAGTATTATCATAATCAAATAAATTATTAACGTTTGTAGCAGAGCCTTGTTAGGA